CAATTTTTTTAAAGTCCTAGTAAATAAATTTTACGAATTTAATTATTTTTTTTCTTAATAGTCTTATGAACGTGGACTTGGCGCGATTTTTTTGCAGTGAAACTTTTTTTGTTCGGATTGGTTTTACCCCCTTTTGTAAAAATTGAGTTTACACTCGATCTCGACGTTTCAAAGTCTCAGGAAGCTTCCCTGACCACCCCCGTGATGGTGTCTGTACGTCTGTATGTATGTGTGTGCGTGCGTGCGTGCGCGAGTGTGTGTGTGTGTGTGTGTGTGTGTGTGTGTGTGTGTGTTACCCTTTAATAACGTTTGAACGGAATCGATTTCATCGTGGTTGGCGCCATTCGAAAGGGCTTGACCAAACTTAGATTTTGAATACAATTTAGATCGATTCGAACCGATATATTTTTAAAAATCTCAAAAAAACTAAAAAAAAATTTTTTTTAAATGTAGTTTTTTTGGAATAACTTTTAAACGGCTTGATCGACCGATTCCAAAAACTAATCAGCTCTTAACATAAGAGAACCACGTCGATCGTCGCCAGCACGGTCAAAATCGGTTGATTCTTGCGTGAGTTATCGTTGTCGAAAGAAAACCGAAAAAATTGTTTTTTCAGAATTACTCCGAAATTCTTGGTTCGATCAATTTAAAATCAATATCCTTTCAGAAGACTTTAAAAACTGCGTCGAATGCCGCCAACCACGTGAAAATCGGTTCATTTATTCAAAAATGATTGCGGTTCGAAAATTCAAAAAATAGTGTTTTATTAAACTTTCAGCAGACTTTTGAGCTCGGAGAGCTCAAAAACGTTATACGTGCAATTTTAAGTGCTCAAGTATGCAGTGAGCGAGAAGTTGCAGGGATGGCCTTTGGAGTTAACCGTTTTCCTAATTTTTTTTCTCATTTCAAGTAAATATAACTTATAATTTTTGCATTACTTTGATTAATAATCGATAATTATGATGATTTTTTAAGATATTGCTAGTCCAGGTAATGACAGAAGGAAAATGAATATCACGCCAACTTGATATGTTATCTATTATAATTACTCAACGACCTTTCAAGCTTAATGAGACTCAGGAAAGTGTATTTTCTTACAATCGACTATTGAAATCATTTTAATTACTATCCTCATAGAAAATTGTATATAAGCCTACTGTATTGAAATTATTACACCCATAATAGATTAGCCTTTATTGCAGACAGGTAATATATTTTCAATGCTGGTTTTAGATAACTGCTTTTTTCATTAATAACAAATATAACTTAGCGTTGTGTTAATTAACTTTTTTTTTTTTAAGAAATTGTTCAACATATAATCATGAAGACATTGTACATAATTGTTTTCGCAGTTTTTCTTTTGGCTACCTTCGTTTCCGCGGGTAAGTTCACTTTTAATTATTGATTATTTAATATTAAAAATGGCGATCGATTGGAAATTTTTCATGTTTTTGGATTTTTTTTTGGATTCAAGCAGCCTTAAAAAATCTCAAATTTCAAAATATGCCACTTGCATTTTAGCCACAGAAAAAATTTTTAATACAGAACGTATTCAACACAGATACACAATATTTGTTACTGAATGAGCCATATGAGGTTCCTTCTACCTTATCTCTATAATGGTGTCCATGTTTTTTAGGCAGATTTTATTGAAATCTATCTATTGCATTGGTCCTCATGCCAAAATTAAGCTGGAATTTTGCTATAATATCATCTAACTAGTCGAATATGGCTTAAAAATAGCATTGGTTCAAATGTTTATATTTTCTGAACCACCTCGATGAATTGAATAAATAAATAGCAAAATTTTTCGAAAGTTCTGCTATGAGGACAAATGCAATAGTTAGATTTCTATGAAATATACTAAAAAGCGATAATTTCATAGAGTTGATCATGTTAAATTTTTTTTGTCTATTTTTTCGAAAAATTCATTTGAAAACAAAAATTAAAAACAAAAAAAGATACCAAAAGGTCAATTTTTGAAAAAGTTATGGCTATTTAAAAATAAAAAAGCTATTTTTTGAAAAATTTATTACTTTTTTTGGGTTGGATAAAAAAAATTCTGAAAAATATTTTTCAAAGGGTAGAAAAGAATGGAAAACTTTGGGCCAGACCGAAAGGGATCGGGTTCAAAAGTGGTCGATTTGGCATGGAATACCCCATGTATAAATACATACACAAGTAAATTTTTCAACCACTGCTTTTTTTGAGCCTTACTCATCTATTTAAAAGATAATATGACAAAATTTTTGGTAAATTTTGACATCAGGACCAATAGAATGGATCGATTTCTATGCAAAGAATAAAGAAAAAATATTTTTTTTAACAAATTAATAAATTAAAGATTTTGTTTAAAAAAATGCACCGTGCTATTTTGACTGAAATTTAACTATTTTATTTTTTATATTAATATTGAATATTATTTTTATACTCTCATTAAAATCTACTGACTATTTCTCATTTGATCACGATGTTTAGTAGAATCTTCAGACGATTTCATTAGTAATTTCTGAATTTGTTTGTTTTTGCTAAAGATGACAACAAGGAAAAACGTGCAGCTCAAATATTAGGAGGTAAATTTACATTTTTTGAAACGAAATATTATAGAATATTTTAATCATTGGTATGATGTTTTAGGTGGATTTCCAGGAGTTCCTCCATCAGAGCAGAAAGGTTCGTTAAATTTTTCAATTATTCTAAAACATTAACAAAAAATTTGTAAAATTTAACGTAAAATTTATTTATCAACAGATAACCAGCGCAAACGATCAGCCCAGCTTGGAGGTAAATTATAACTTTGATTTTGCAAATTTTAAGAAATGTATGTGCTAAAAAATACTTTTCTCTGCGTTAGGTAGTTTTGTCCGGGGAAATCGCTCAGCCCAACTTGGAAGTATGTAGAACTATTTTTTTCTTTTGTACCTGTATTACGATTGAGAATATGATGAAGCTAAAAGTTAATTATTTATGTCTAAAGGTGGCTTCGGCGGTGGAAAATAAATCATTCGACATACCGATACATAAACAAAATAAAATTAAAAATAAAGATTTTTGTGTATTAATGCGTCAATAAATAAATTTTATCAATAATTTTTTCTGCTTACCAATAATAGTTCATTGCTTTACACCCAAGAAAAAAAACTTCTGATCAAAGCTGATTTAATTAGAATAATTATAATTATATCTGTATAGATATTCGATTTAACTTTCCTGGAAAAATATATATACGTTCATAGTTGATCATATAAAAAAGGTCCTATACACGGGAAGAAAATTGAAGGAGTTATTACTATTTTACTATTGTAATTTTTACTAAATAAAATAGTAACGGTGGACTATACTTCTCATTTAGTAATTTTTACGATCTACTATTGTAAATTTTATCCAACAAATAAGACTAGCAAGAGTTTTAAAAAGTCGAATACTATAGAGCAAATTATACAATATGTGTTTGTGAATTTTACAATTCAACTATTGTAAAAATTCACAGTTGGTTTTTTTAAAAGAAATATTAGGGAGGGAGAGAGATAGAAGGTTGCACAAATTGGTACCTGTACAGTAATCGAAAAAAGAAACGAATATTTTCGTGCTATCTGGGAATCGAAACCTAGAACTCTGTGTTGGTAGCCAGAGACTCTCCCTTTAGGCTATCCGCGGTAAACTAAGACCCATGTCCTTTAACATTTATATAAACTCAGAGTCTAGCGCTGTGCACGGCCATCACTCACACTAATTGAGAGACATTCCAATTCAACTATTGTAAAATTTGCTATAGTTCTATTGGAAAGATACAGAGGCAGCACTGGAAATTTTCATCTCTTACTTTTTACAATAGTAATATCGTATTTTTTCATTAATAAATAGTATTTTTTCTTCTAAAATATTTGATAATTAATAGTAATAAAGGTATAGTCCAGCTTTACAATAGTTGTATCGTAAATTTTCCCAGAAATTTTTTCCCGTGTATATATGATTACTAGCCGTTCCCGCCCGCTTCGTTGGGCGAATTGTAAAAGGAAATAAATAAAATTTTATGTTTCATTTTTGAAAAAATGATTTTTATATAATTATTTTCAAATTGAAAAAAAACTTATTTTTGATATAATTAAAAAAAAGTTAAGGATTCATACATGCATTTTGAATTTTAAGTAATTTTGGATGTCAATTTTACAAAAATTTTTATTTTAAAACGGTAAGTAACATTAGAAAAATCTCCGCAATAAACTTAACAAATCGTGTGCATTTAACTCGATACACATCTTGACAAAATAAAAGCACTCTTGCATGAAAAGTCATTTCCGGAGGTCGATGCTTGAATTTTCCTGGCAGTTAAACCAGCAATTGATTTTCCACGCATAATTTCACAACGACCACCCGTTTAATTGCAACCTACAAAATTGATTAAAAAAAACAACAAATTCAATGTTTAGATTTTTATTTCCAATTAATTTTTTTTTTTTTATATAAAAATTTGTTCGTTACATTACCCGGGAGCTCCAGAAATAAATAAATTTTACAAATACTTAATCATTATAAATTAACACAATTAATCAATAATATTTAACTAATTAATCATGGCAGTTTTTTATATTACGCATATATATTATTGTTCTTTGCTGGTTTCTTAATTATTACACATCTAAACAGTATTTCATAACTTTAATTAAATAGTAATAACAACTAATGATAACCTTTCAAAATAATACCAACAATTAACAAAAAAATAATCCATGTATAATCTTATAAATTATAAATTATTTAAAAATATTGTACAGTATATAAATTACGTATATTAAGGAATGTACAATATCTATTTGTTCACTTGGGTGATATTATATAATTTTGTTCTTTTTTTTTTTCTTGTGGTACTACTTAGTTTTGTAATATAATATATTAGTAGCTTTATAATATAATGTTTGTATGACTTTTCAGTTTTTAGGTACGTTAATGACATAATAGTAATGATTGGTTTTGGGTATTTTTTCTTCTTGTTATTTTCATTAAGGCATATTTTCTAAACATTGTTTGATATGTTGCCAAGTTTGGAGACCCTGTAACAAAAAATTTTTCTTGTTGTCATTTTTTATATAAAAAACAAATAATATAGGTTTCACTAAGTTGAAATTCAAAAAAAAATTTTTATATATCGATAAGCGCCTTTTTTTCCAAATTTTCAGTATTTCATTTTCAAAATTTCTATTTATTGCGCAAGTTGATTGATTTGTTAAGAAAGATTGGATTGAGAGAAATTGTATTAGACTGGTTTATATCATATTTGGAGGAACGGAAACAAAGAGTAAAGTATGGAAACACACTATCTGAAGAAATTTATGTAAATGAGGGAGTACCACAGGGCTCTAAACTTGGGCCATTATTATTCATAATATATGTTAATGAAATCATTAGTATTAAAAAGATATATTTAAAAAGATTGGTATAACTTGTAAGCTTTTTGCTGACGACACGACACTGTATTTTGCAAGTAAAGTGATTAGTGAAGTTAAAAATAAACTAAATTATGGTTTAAAAATATTATTAAGCTGGCTAAAAGACAAGCAATTAAAAATTAACTTAAAAAAAAACAGTTTTTATGTTAATACATGACCAACGTAAGCAGTACACTAAAGAACTAGATTTTATAAAAATAAATAATACATGCTAATGAAATTGCTGGGAAAGTCGCTAGGAAATTAAATGTCATGTATAGATTGGGAAATACAGTGTCTTGTTATGTAAAAAATACAATTTATAAAACAGCCATTGCATCTTATTTTGACTACTGTAGCTCATTAATGCTTAATTTTACCGAATATAAGCTTGATGAGCTGCAGAAAGTACAGAATAGGGCAATGAGACTTGTATTAGGTGTAAATAAATATACAAATATTAATAATATGTTAAAAGCATTAGGCTGGTTAAATATAAGACAGAGAATAGCATACAATTGTTGTGTATTTATACATAAAATTATAATAAATAAAGCACCTCATTACTTGTACAAATTAATCACTAGAAATGAAAATAGACATAAATATGATACAAGAAATCGCTCCTTATTGCACATTAAACAAACTAGAACGCGCTCGGCAGAGAAATGTATTGTGTATAAAGGATTTAAATTGTATAATGAGCTTCCGGAAAATATAAAAAATGAAGATAGACTTCCATACTTTAAAAGACAATTAAAAGAATATGTAAAAAATCTATTTTAATAATATATTTTATATTGCGGTTAGAAAAAAAAAAATTTTTTTTGATTGATTATATATTTTATTTATATTAAAACTATTGTAATGAAGAAAGATAGCAATTTGCTAAATAAAGATTATTATTATTAAAAAAAAAAAAAAAGTGCGATGAGATACTATAATTTGTCGGATAGAGGGCGACAGAGAAGTGAGGGTAAGCTTGAGGTTATGATCAACATCTAATTATTTAGTAAGTTAATCTTTTGACAATTTTTGTATTCTATTATTTTAAGGATTATTTTGATATTTAAATTTAGTGCCTTATAAATAATGGTATTAATAATACCCGTAACAAATATAAATAATGCTGTGAAGCGGGAAAGAATAGGAGTTACGGATAATTATTACGTGAAGCGTTCCAACATTCACGTAACAGGATAATTGGTAGGAAAGGATTGAGAAAGGATTGTGGAGAGGATCATCTTAATGTGAGTTTATAGAATATGCGAGAAAAAATTATTAGATAGCTCGGACTGGGATTCGAACCCAGAATACCCTTTAGAGGGGAACTTTGCAAAGTGTTATGCAGTCTGTTAATAATAGTTTATTAATTGTTACCTGCAAGGGAACCCTAAGTAGGTAAGATTTCTAAAAACTAAAAATGACTTGTATTTACATAAAGATGTGCATTTACCGGTATTTTGATTTTATGTGACGAGACCGTCATAAATACCGTTTCGTGACGGTAAGTGACGTCACAAATTTTTTTTCAACACGTTTGTTGTGCAAATGACGGTCACAAGCCCGGTCACAATTGTTACCGTCAAATACAACTACGTAGACGTCTCGTGACGGTTTTTTTACAAGAATGACTTAATTATTTGGGAAGTATTTCACTGAAAAATAAGAGGTTTGATAAAAAATAAAATGTCAAGTTAGAATGACTATAATTTTTTAAAGGATGAATAATGAAATTTAAATAATGTTATTATTTAAAACTTTGCTTGAAATTAACAAATAATAATATTTTTTTCTTCGGATATTTTTATTATCATAACATCTTAGTTGTTTGGTTTAATAAAAAAATAATTTTAATTATTTGTTTACTTATACTATTTAAATAAATATTAATTTAATTTCATAAAACTCTAATCTCTCTAGATGATTCACATAGCCGCGTGCATAAATTTTCAGTTGACAAGGACAAAATAAACTTTACATAACTGCTAAAATACATTATTATTTTTATAATTGAAGTTAATTCCACTAGATGGCGATAGTTTGTGACCGTCTCGTCATAACACTATCGGTCACAAAACCGTTTTGTGACGGTAAAAAGTATGTAAAATTACTCGTCACGTGACCAGTGTACATCTCTAGTGGACTACTCTTAGCTCGAGCCTTTATGTATATAATTTATTTAAAAAAAAAAAAAAAATTGTCTTAAAAATGTCGTTTATTATTAAGATTTTGAACGTCACATAAACCAAGACTCTTTTAAGATGCCGAACAAAAAAATTCCGAGAGCAGATTTTTGATATTTGGTTCTCGAATTTGTTTTAAGACTATTTTAAGATCATTTTAAGACTATTCAAAGACCCTCTATAATAATTTTCCGGAGCTCTGTCGCTGTGAGCTCATCTTAAAATAGTCTTCAAATAATCTTTAAAAAATTTTTAAAGACTATATCAAGATGAGCTCACAGCGACAGAGCCCCGGAACATTAAAACGGATAATACATTTTCTAAAATTTCAAATTCAATTTAAAAAGAGCGTACTCAAAAATGTTGCGGTTAAAAACTCGCAAAACCGTTTAAAAAATGTCTAAAAATTAATTTTGATAACAAATTCGAAAACCAAATTTCAAAAATCTGTTCTCTGAATTTTTTTTTTTTGTCTTAAGAGTCTTAGTTTGTATCACGTTTAAGATCTTAAACAAACGACATTTTTAAGACGATTTTTTTACACGGGTTAATTCGGTCGTATTTCTTCACAATTGAACTCACATGGGGCACTAGTAGAATTTTTGACCATATTCGTGTTGTAGAGCATGCGACACACAAGCCTAAAGTTTTAATTGTAAGCATTTAATCATTTAATTTTTTAGCTTGAAGGTCTATCCTTGAATAGTTTTTATGAAAATGATTAGCAGCTCGTAGAAAATGATTCTTATTTTACAATTCAACACCTCAACTCTCTTGCAAGGAGGCAATTCAGCGATTATGCCCCATCTGTTGGAGATTTTTGTCATTACATTTGGTAAAAAAATTATGTGTGCAAATATGACGACATAGAGCCTGATATAGTCATATCTAAGTCATGTCAAGACATATACCGTCAGATATGAGTAGAACGTTATGTATTTCTGATATGTCATTAGAAAATTTTTATCGGGAGTAGATTCGATTGAGTTAAAAAAATTTAATTAATCTTTTTTGTTTATTACTTATTTTATTAGTAAAGAAAAAATTAGTGTAAAAAAATTAAATAATTTTAAAACTTGGAGAACAAAAACAATATTAAATTACAATTATCACAAATCATGGCTGAATGGGCGATAATTGACTTTAATGGATACTATTATGAAGGAAAATTTATAATAAAAGAAATTTGTACATTTAAATCTCAAGATGGCAATATTTCAGAACTCGTAGAAGTCACATCGCCACCTGAACTAAATCCTGGTCGTGAAAATCAGAGTTTTTATATGAATTTTTATAAAAAAACCGCCATTAACTGGAGTACTGGTAATTGTTACATCGATGAATTACGTTACAATCTCATCGTTGTACTGACGGACTATCCTTTCGTTCTGATTAAAACTAAAGAGAAACTTAATCAACTAAAAGAATTTCTAGAAATTAGCAACATTAGAAATCCACTTATTGCTGAAGATTTTGGTTTTCAGGCAAAAACATCGGGAATTAGACGCGTATGTACTTTTCACGATAGCCGAGCTCGACCATATGATTGCGCAGGTTACAACGCTAGGAAAATACTCGATTGGTATTCTGCAATATTGAAAATTTCATGTGCTGTTATTGATTTCAATGGATATTACTCCGCGGATAATAAATTCGCTATGAAAGAGATAAGTATTTACGGGATAGACAATAAAGGATCGATCGTCTACCATAATTTATTTGTAGCCAAGTTTCCAAGGGATTTGTTGAATATGCAAAGTTTTATTGCTGATTACAATGAAAATTATTATGAAACATATGGAATAGAATGGGCTAATGGATCGCATGATTCATCTCGTGTTATCGATATAATTAAAAATGTCGTTAATTTTGCTCTTAGCAACAAGCGTATATTTGTCAAAAGCGCGATTCACAGAAATCAATTGCAGAGAAGTTTCAGCTTGTCGAGAGAGTTTATAGATTCGAGTTTGTGTATGGACAAATTGAACTATAACGAAAAAGCCTTTGATATCCAGGGTTCCTTCTGTCGCTTTCATACTAGTCTAATTGGTGATTCGAAAATTTGTGCTGATTTTGGCGCTAAGAAAATGCTAGAATGGATTGTGAATAAGAAATATTATGAGGATCACAATCTTAATGCTAAAATTGCTACTGATGTGATGATGCATCGAGAATTAAATGCAAATTATATTTGGTAGTGAATGTTGGAGAACAAAATTCTTGGCTCAAGTAAATTTTCGGGTGCCCGAAGGAAGACCGAAGTTGTCTTGGCCGAAGTAAAAATTTTTCTTGAAATTTTATTCTTGGTGGAAGTAATTTTTTCTTAATTCAAATTATCATAAATACTTGATACAATAACTTTTTATATTCGATCAAGATTTTTAGATACTTTGGGGAAGCAGCGCCACCTACTTCAGCTGAGAAAAAAATTTTCTTACCTTGAGAAAATTTTTCTCTTGAATATTTGATACCCATTTTAGACTATTTTAGAGCGCAATTATACATATTGAATGAAAAAGAAAATGATTCAATAACTTGATCTTCCCATTCGACATGTTGCGCAATTATACATATTGAATGAAAAGAAATGATTCAATATTACTTGATCTTCCCATTCGACATGTTAGTTAATAAAAATAATGAAAATTTACATCAAGATATTTAATTTTTTGGAGCAAGAGAAAAATTTTCTCAAGACAAGAAAATTTACTTCTGTCAAGAACTTAATTTTTTGGAGCAAGAGAGAAATTTTCTCAAAACAAGAAAAATTTTCTTGACTTAAATAAATTGTCTTGGATCAAGATACGTATTTTTTGAAGCAAGGAATTAATTTTGTTGGAATAAGTGAAATTTCTTGTGTCAAAAAAAAAAATTTGTTTCGCCCAAGAAAATAATTCGGAAGAAAAATATTTTCTTGGTTCAAGTGAACCTTTCTTTCTGTGTATGAGACACGATAAATGTCTTGTGTTAATTACAGTCAAAGCTGTAAAAGTTTTTAATAAGATTGTTGTTCAAATATTTTTCAAGGTTGAGACAGTCAACATTATGAAATAGATATTTATGTCATAAGGCTGTGGAGTGGTGGTTTTCTGACAGCGATGATATTTCGATATGAGCTAAAGGTTTGTGGCGGAAAGATTCGAAACGGGCGTAATTTTAATGTCCGAGGCGAAGCCGAGGAGGGAAATTTACGCTCGTTTTCAAAATTATTTACTCAAAATTACGGTGATCTAGCAATTGAGATCAATATCACTATACAATAAGACTGACGACTATACAAACTTTCACAATATAATCCACTTTAGTAGTAAAGCTACGCGTTTACTAATATGTCCGTCTCTTACGACAGCTCGAGTCAGAATTGAATCAAAAAATAGCAAGATTTTTCAAAAGTTCCGTCATGAGGATAAATACAATAGTTAGATTTTTATGAAATCTACTAATACTCTATAATAAATAAAAAAAAAATTGTACTAAAAATTTGAGTCACTGATATTTCTGTCGATTTCACTTACAATTCTATATTGAATTTATTTTCGATTTGGGTTTTGAATACAAATACAGATAAACAGATCAAGGAATTTCATTTTCATCCAACAATGAATAAATTCAATTCAAATAATCTTATATACAACAGAGAAAATAAAAGTAAAGAGAAATTATTCGTTTATTATCCTTGTCTACCTAATTCGTCAATTTAATTCTACGTCGAAATTAAATCTCAACTTGGTACCACAAATCGACTTAATATAATCAGTAAAAGTAATAGATTAATATACCAAGCGTTAAAAGAAAGAAATTAAATTTATCAAATAAAGTGTTCAGAGTAGCAGTATCGATCCTATTTTTTCCTCAGAAACAAATGAAGTCTAAATAAGTGAGAAATTAAAGGTAATTTAAAAAAAAAAAAAATGATTGAAATTTTATTAAACATTTTTCATTTCCCGTGAAAGAGTTTTCTGATAAATTTATATTAATTTTTGATTTGTTTATAAACATATGTTTATAAATATCTATAGATATTCTCATGTATGGCTTAAATGACAATTATAGCCATGTTGGGCTATTAATTAGCATATCAGGCATAACTTTCTTACCAAAGGCAACGAATCGCTGCATCGTCTACGTTAGAGACTTAAGTTAAGGGTGTTAATTTCTAAAATAAAGATGATTCTTTATCTCTCAAAGCTTAAAATGAACGGAACCCTTCAAGACATAAGACACCAATAGTTATAAATAAATTTATACTATTCACTCAGTAAAAAAAAAAATTAATAAGCATAATTGAAGAAGCTAAAAAAAAAAATTAGAAAAACGGTTCACCCTAAAGGCCATCCCTGCAACTTCCCGCTCATTTTGTACTTGAACGCTTCAAACTACATATTACGTTTTTGAGCTCTTCGAGATTATTTTTGTGTCAATTTGAGCTCTTCGAGCTCAAAACTCTGATAGCAGTTTAAAGACACAATTTTTTGAATTTTCAAACGGCAATAACTTTTGAATGAATGAACCGATTTTCACGCGGTTTTTGAAAATCTGAGATTTTTAGCGGGAAGTTAAAAAGTTCTTTGTCTCCCCTAAGGAGGTTACGTGACAGTAGTTCTTGGTTCAACCAATTGTTGATTAATACGACATGCTAATTGAAGGATTTATTTTAAATAAAGAAATAATGAAAAACTTTTATAAATAATTTTTTTTTTTTCATTTATAGCCATTTATGACTAGATCAGGCAATATCAAATTCTTACACACAATTATTTATTTATAAGCAAGTTATACTCATCTTCATCATTGAATTATTAAATTTCTACATTTTTATCAAAATAATGCTTTAATAGCTCTAACCACTTAGGGAATAATGATAAAATTGTTTGACTTTGACGAGTCAGGAGTAAAACACTATCTCATCCGTTTCGCGTAATGAGGCGTGCAATTTGTTTTGTAACAACTATTCGATAATATTAAATAATAAATACCTTTTTAGCGAGTTTGAATTGTAGTAAACAATAATTAGCTAGAGCTTCTTTGATATCGGTATCTTTTTGCCGTTGAAATCGTTCAATGTCTGACAACGCCTTTATTGAAAACGATCTGCAAAACAATCACAATTAGTCATTAAAATAATAAACTAAAATTAAAAACTATTTATAGTTCACTTACGTTAAATTTTCATCGACTTCCTTAACAGTATTTTCCATTACAACAATTTTCTGCTCCAGCTGATTACATTTTTGGCCGCGCATTTCTTCGGAATCTACTGCACCAAATAGCCGTGACATTAGTCCTAGTTTACCTGTTGAAATTAATTTTTTTTATACCCAAAATTTAACAAAAAAAGTTTTCCACACTTTGATACTTTATTGTTTATAGCTTGCAGCATTTTTTTTTTACTTATGACACAACCGTTCTAATTCAACGACTCGTAAAAGCCATTATAGTGCAGATGCACCTCACAACAGATGTACCAGCACTCAACTAATGAATACCTACTATTTGAACAAAACCACTAGAGTTTTAATGAAATAGTTTAATAAGAAATAATCAGCACCTGTAGCTTTTAAATTCATATTTTGTGAATCCATACAAATATAAGGAATTATATTAAAGTAGTATCACAGATATTCCACAATTTTCGAATGTTCTAAATGTTCTAAACCCTTATTTGATTTACGTAATTAATTTTTCTATGCAAAGTCACATTAGAGAAAGAGATCATTTTTAAAAGTTTTTTTTATCAATTACTGTTGAACATATACGATCTTGGTGGTGGGAGATATTCATACTTCTCAGTCATACTCATTTAGTAATGCATATAGTCAGTCTAGTTCAATAAAGTATAAAGAGCAGACGTGCGTTGTACGTATAAAGACTCTTCTAAATTCTATTAGCTACTCCACACGCATTCCATAATATCAACAATTATTACCATCACATACTCTGAATCTGTACTTTTAATAACAGAAAGTATTCAATATATTATTTCTTTTCATCACCTCAATTTTTATTGAAATCTGAACGCCACTTTTTGTAAAATAAAATAAAAACTGTCATTAGTCATATGACTTAAGAGGTTACATGGGTTTAAAAGCTTCAAGAAATTGGTTTTTCATCTTATTAAATTTTACATGTCTAGAATATTTTCTTAAATTTTCAAGTCGATCGGAGTAACGTTTTAAAAGATGGAGCCTTGAGAAATTTTCTCAAAGTCAGTTCTGCTGAGCGCTCAAAACTTTAAACGTGTTTAACTCGAAATGCTTTTTTAAAAGTCGGTTGTTAAGATTTCTCGAAAACTACTGAATTGATCTTGATAAAATTTCAGACGCGTCTTCGAGATGATTTTGACAAGAACTTGGACGAAGGATTTTTTTTTTAATCACAACTGATTTTGAAAAACTAAATTGTGGTGCAAATTTGAGTAAAATTTGAATTTTTTTTTAAGCCTGAAATTAAAAATTCGATTTTTGATTTCACATGACCCTGTCAGAAATTATGCTGTCAATGCTAAAGCACATTTTTTAACGACGTAAGGCTCATGTAACTCCTTAATGTTTAACCCTAAAATTTTAAAAGCTCAATGTTTTTGACTGGTTCTCTTGAGCTTTTCAAAAATTTAGTGGGCTTATTGACGATTGAATTCAATGAATTTTTTTCAAAAATGAATAATAGTTTTGATACCTTGAACAATTTTTTGTCGCTGTTCATACGCATTATTCAAACTATCTGTAGCTTCCTCTTTACTCAACTGCAGTACTTCTCGGCGTCTTATAACAGCTTGCAGTGCACTTGCACCGAATAACCACTCTTTAAGTTGATCTGCAATCAATTCCTCTTCTTCGAGGTGACTATCAATTACAGCAGCTAGCGAGTCTAAATGATGCCCGGTTTTCTGCAATCCATCACCCAATTCTTTTTCGATGGCACTCCATTCGCTAAACACACGGCCATAATTCGCGTGCAGCTTGAACAAATGGTACTGTTTTTCTGCCAGCCTTGCCCGGAGACGTAAGAAATTGTTCAAATTATTCTGTAAATTATAAAAATTTGATCAATCTAATCAATTCTTGTTAACTTTTTTATAAATGGACTATTGTATTAATTCTTCGAACAGTCGCAAGAATCTATTGCCTTATGGTTGAATAAGTAAATTATCTAGTTATCTAAATAATGAAAAAATGCACATTGAAAAAAAGATAAAACATTAATTAACAAATTTTATACACTCTAAATTTGATTAGTTAGTGATTCCATATAAAATCTTAATTAAAAAAAAATATAATGAAACTTCCTGAACAAACATAATTCTTTTAACACTATGACTCTTGAAAAACATGTTCAATTGGCCTGATTTTTTTTTTATTCGGTTCGTATAATCAATATTGAAGCTGTCGCTAATCGTGGCTATATTATTATTCATTTTAGCTTAAATAAAAAATTTCTATCATCGTTTCTTTATAATTTTTACTCATCCCTAACGGATCCAAAGTGCGGTAGAGTACGATAATGTACGGCAAATTTACAGTAGGGTACGGTAGAATACGGTACGTACAGTGATTTACCGTAATACAGTATGACACCGTAAATTACGGAGATTGTACGGTAAAGTACCATAATTGTACGGTTATGTACCGTAATTGTACGGTAACTTATCGCTAAAATAAGATATATTTGACGGTAGGTTACCATCGGAATACGGTAGTGCGGAAAGTTCAGAAGTATATATTCTACCGTATTTTCACCGTACGCTACCGTAGTTGTACCGTAATTTTACCGTTCTTTACTGTACGTTACGATGTTTTACGGTTTCTACCGTGCAAGTAGAATGCTACTGTAATCTACGGTGGCCATACGGTATATCGACCGTATTTTTACCGTATAATACCGTAATTTTACGATATTTCAGATCCGCCAGGGATGAGACATCCATAAGTTACTTTTCATAAAGAGAGCCGTATAAAGGCAATGCGCACCTGCGTTTCTGTAATTTGAAATTAACCTATCGCAACGCGAGAGAGCATCTCGAGTCGAAATATAAATTCCAATTTGAGCCTTAAAATCCTCAACTATTTTTACACAAAGTGGTGACATATTTCTCATGTTATATGTTAATTAATTTGTAAATATAACTCAAATTTTTTTCGGTGAAGCCAAAATTTTCTAAGTCCAAAATACAACTTTTCACTGAATAAGACTTTTGAGGTTGTAGTGGGGATTCTAAATCAACGGGTGGTTCACATTAAGACCTCAAAATCTTCGATGAGGATTTTGAGTATCAAAGTAGAGTTACTTTCTGTGCGGCAAATAAAACATTAAAGGAATTGAGTCTTTTGAGGTTAAAACTAAGATTTATTTTTTGACTTGGGATTCAACTCGTAAGATGTTTCCTGTCCACGAGAAAATTTAAACAATCATCGAAAGTGAATTGTAAAAAAAGTTAATTTTTCAGAATGAAATTAATTGTTATTATTTTTGTTTTTGCAGTATTTAGTAGAACATCTTTAATCTAATTGATATTTAATTAAAAATTACTGAAATATCGAAAATCACATTCAGATTTTTAATGAAAAGTTGTATACATAAAAATTAAATTGGATATGATACGAGCATTTAAAGGAAATACATTTAGAATTACCAAACCTATTTTTATTTCACTTACATGAAGTTCCGTCGCATAAGTCTTGTAAGATTCAAATTGTTTGTCAGGATCTTCTAATTTTTCAGGAATGCTTAGAGGATTTGATTTTACATCATGATTTTGTGAGGAACTAATAGCTTTGAGACTTTCTCGCCAACCATTAGTTTGCTGAAGAAATCCCATGAATTGTTTGTCTTTTGATAATGTCGGGTGTGAAGCTACTCTCAATAAAAAAGTCTATAAAAAATAAAAGGACATGAATTAGTGGTCATCGAATAGATTAGTTATTGTTCAATTCGAGATTAGCTCTATTTAAACTCACTTCTAACCCAGCTCGTCTTCTATCGACAAAATCTGGGTCGAATGTATCAGTAGTTACTTTCTGCCATGCATAGAGAACTCTTTTTTCCGGAAGTGATGGCACCACGATGTAAGGATATGTCATTTCTAAGTAAGCTCGTAACATTTCAAATTCAGTATATCTGCGCCACAATGAACCGATTGTCCTTATTGCTTCTTCAAAATCTGGATCTGTTACTCTGAAAGGCCAAAAATTATTCAGCATATTATTAATTTGTCAGTGAAAAGGGTTTATTTTGATGGTCTACAAAAAAAAAAAAAAAAAAGATGATTTGCTCTTTGTTCATAGTGATTCGAACGAAGATGAATGTGTAAATACTGACCTACAAAGGCATAAGTTAATTTAAAATCTTAATCGAAGGCTAAACACTCATCAATATGGATTTAGTAATTAGTTATGTTTACTGACCGAATAACTTTGGGTAGATACCCACAAACTTCATTAATATGTTATGGGTATGAGCATTGATTCAAATTAGGTTCGAGTAACTCCTGTTATTATGGAAATTTCGTAAGTAAATCGAGATATGGCAAATTAACTTAATGGATAATTACAACTTTTTTATTCTAGATCAACTTTCTGGTTAGAATTGGCTATTGTAAATTAAATTCAAGCAAATCAAATTAAACAATCTTTTAAAGGGTTACATGGGTTTCCTCCGGGAAAAAAGGCCTATTTTTAACAATTTTTTTTTAATATAAAAATATATTCATAATATATTCAAACTTTTTACTGTCTTAAAGATACATATTTAATGACGGATTGCTGGAATTTTTGAAAAAAATATTAAAAACTCTGCCATTATGACGTCATTTCCGGCAAGCCCTCGGAAAAAAGATGCGTCCGCGTTGAAAGCAGAATTCCTAGCAGGATCATTTGAAGTGAAAAGAAAGTCCATGCTTTAGTTAAGACTTTAAACTAGAACTTGGACGAAGAAAAAAAAAATGAAAATTGGATTTTTGGTAGAGGTTTTTACGAAAAAATGAAAAATTTGATTAAAATTTCGCAGCATTTGTTTTTTTAAATAGTTATAATTAAAAAAAAAAATCTTTCGTCCAAGTCCTTGTAAATTATGTCTTGCAGACCTGTCTAAAATTTCATCAAGATCGGTTAAGTAGTTCTCGAGAAATCTTGACAACCGTCTTTGAAAACACAGTTTTGAGAAAAACGCGTTTAAAGTTTTGAGTGACAATACAACAGCTCTTTGAGTGCGCAACTTTTTAAAATTGTTTGATAATATTCTAGTGATGTTGTAGAATTTAATAAGACAAAAAAAAATCGATTTTTTGAAGCCGTGACCCATGTAACCCCTTAAACGAAAAAAAACTTCCTAATTTTTTTAATTTTTAATCTTCTCAGCAAGAAGTTAAAAACTAATTTTCATTGAATTGTTCTTGAGAAATTATACATTTTTAAAGTTCACAATGTAAATGGTATATATTAAATCTTTTACGTTATTTATAATAACAATGTCAAAGTCTTTGAATAAGAATAAAGATAAGATAAAAGTAATTGTATCTCTTCTTAAATTTTGTATATTATTTTATACGTTGTTATTCAGATAAAAGTTTTTATCTCCGCCTTAAAAAAAATTAAAAAATATTTCATCGTAATATTACAATATCATTTCAGAAATGTAGTGAATGCAATATTCCGGACTAATATTACTTCCATTACTTCAGAATTTACGCAACATCCCAGTTCCATGCAATATCAAAATATTTTTATTAAATGTGAGAAATATTCAATGTTAATGTTTCAGGAGTGACCATTCATTTTATGAAGTCGATCGTATCCATTATTAATTATTTTATACTAAACAAAAATAAGTTAATTCGAAAGACACTAATTCTGCATGGAAATTAACAATTTTTCTTTTACATAATCCTACGTACACAGTTGTATATAATTCTTGAAGTTATACCGTCGATTTTAAAATTATTGTTCCGAATCTAATAAAATTCTAAATATTAAAAAATTATCATAGAAGAGATTTTTTATTTTTAAAAAGCTACTAAATAGTTGAAAAAATTATTAATAATTTCATAATTTTAACAATGAGCTGTTAGTATTTTTTTTGACACATGCTTTTTATATACATCATAACTTTTATAATTTATTATAATTGAGAGTCCATTAAGATGGTTACGTTGATTTCAAATTTTAAATGATTGATAAAAATTAATGAAGCATTTTAATCTTTTAACATCAAAAAATAAATTTTTATAGATCAAATTTGACTTTTACAAATTTTTCAATTATTAAGTATTTATAAAAGATTTTATTATTATTATTTTATTTTGTTTTTTTTTCTTTTTATTCTTGTTAATTGCTATTCTTTTCTTGAGTTGCAATTGTTAACACGACATTAGTTTTTTCATTTAGCAATCTAACTATTGAATTACTATGCTAGCTATAAGTCATTTTGTTATACATCAGAAAAATTTTTTATGTACTAACCATTATATAATTTTTAACCCTGTTAATGGCCTAGGCTGTTGGGTTTGTTTATTTAAATTAATAAATAAAAAAATTGTGTAAATAAAATATTAATATTTTATGATACCAAAATAAAGAGACATCTAATAATTTTTAGAATTTCTTAACAAATGAATGATGACATGAAAAATTTATTTAAAAAATTCCGTCTTTAGAAGCTTTTAAAAATTATAAATGCAATTTTTTAAAAATAATTTTTTAGATCTATTTTATTATTCAAGAAAAATAAACAAATTGCAAAGTGTCTGGTAATTTCAGTATTGTAATATTATAAAAATATTTACAACTTTGTGTTCATTCAAAGTTTCTACTTACTTTGTATCGATTAAATAAACAGTATAAAATTCTCGTAAATTCAGAGCACCATTAGCTCGTTTTTCAGATTCGACTATGGAAATTTCCATGTGATCCAATAATGAAAACTGCAAGAAAATTTATATTATAATCTCAATAATTCATATCAACAACAATAAAATTACCTCTTTATTAATATCTATTGTTGCCATATCACTCTCGTCAGACATCTGATAATTACCATTTTCGAACATACCTGTAATTATTTATCTCAGTAATACAAATGTAAATTAACAATAAAAAAAAATAAAAATACACACCTGACATTTTGTATAGATGATTTGGGTCAAAGTTTAAATTTTTCTTACTATTATTTTTAATATTTGAGCATTGATAAACCCTGTTATTTTTATTATTATTATTTATAAATTATAATAAAAGTAATAAGTATTATTTAAGATACAGTTGGCTGGAATAATTTATTGAACTTTGCACTTGTATTAATTCCGTATCACTTTTAATTCTTCAATATTTATAATAATAATAATGATTAAAACAATTGATAAATATTTGAGGAAAGTTATTGTAAAATATTAAAAAATTTGAAACACATATTGATTGATCGGTTTATTTACTAACAGAAGAAAGGTATTAGAATCTATAGTAAGCTTAAGTAAACAGTTCGTGAAATCAATTTTAATTGCACGGGTGAAAGCTTAACTGCTTCCTAATGTGAAACTGAAGTTCTGTCCCAGAATTGACAGCTGATTTTAGTCAACAGTATCGAGTTTTGTGGTAAATAGTAGGAAAAATTATTTGTAGATGTCATTATTGCTGGTGGTTTAATATGAATTTGATGCTTTAAAATTTTTCTAGGAAATATTCTTACCGGTTGTAGCTTGGTCCGTATTTTTGTACGTTACTATACACGTTTATACTATATTACTAATAAAACATATTATTGAGAATATTTACACATTTAATAAAATTTATATAAAAATATTTTAAAGTTTGAACACAATAATTTTATAAAAAAAGAATTTTACAAAATATACTGGATTTATTAAGTCAACAATACACAATTGAAATAATGTAATACAATTTAATATATAATTTTCACAATATTTAATTTTACATATTGCATATAATTTTATTTAGCACATTCAATCATGGTACATTTGCATAAAGAACTTCACATCTATAAGTATACAAATATCACATCAAAAAAACTTCACTTCTACACGGGAAGAAAATTGAAGGAGTTATTACTATTTTACTATTGTAATTTTTACTAAATAAAATAGTAACGGTGGACTATACATTCTCATTTAGTAATTTTTACGATCTACTATTGTAAATTTTATCCAACAAATAAGACTAGCAAGAGTTTTAAAAAGTCGAATACTATAGAGCAAATTATACAATATGTGTTTGTGAACTTTACAATTCAACTATTGTAAAAATTCACAGTTGGTTTTTTTTAAAAGAAATAGAAGGTTGCACGAATTGGTACCTGCACAGTAATCGAAAAAACAAACAAATATTTTCGTACTATCTGGGAATCGAACCCAGAACTCTATGTTGGTAGCCAGAGACTCTCCTTTTTTTTTTAAAAAAAAGAAGTTTATTTGCTTTATTTTAATTACATAGGTTTTACAATAAATATTCGGCTGCAAATCAACTTAAAAACTAGCCATTATATTATGTTTATTAATAAGATATTAGTCTCCGTGTGTGGAGCTACTCATATCTATTGTATATGTGGATCTGAATTATTAGAACCTAAATATTTTGTTAATTAAATATGTATTGAGATGTATCCAATTAGGATATATATTCTTGTTAGTTGAAGAGCGGTGGGAAAGTTGCAAAAACCCTCGCTTAGCTTATTAAAAAAAATTAATAGTGAAAAAAGAAAATAAAAATATTAAAGTAAAAAGATTATAGCTTAAATCTATACATATATACAAATATACATATTAACACTTCATCACGTCGCCGACCAGCCGTTGAGCTTTCTTAATTTTAATTTTATACGATGACAGGAGTCCTCTAGCCACCAGTATCTTTCATCAAGACTGTAGAAGTCCATTTTATCTCGTTCTGGTAAGGCCATATTGAATAAACTGGATCATATTTATTGTTAGCAATCATATCAGTTATCAAATTAATTCTTTTGTTTGCTACATTTCTGCCCCAATGATATATTGTTGGTACGTTGTTGCTGTCTTGTATGATGCCTTTTTTGTCAAAGTAGATAAACGCTTGGGGTGGTAGGCAAGCTGAGTTGTGGTTCGTGATGTAGATCTGTTGGTCAGGTGTTTCCAAGATCTTTTCAATTTCTTTATTCTCAATTGAAGAGAGTTTCGCAAAGTAATCTCGCTTTAACTTAATTATAAAATTGTCGATCCGGGGGATGTTAGCAATGTTGTATAAAGTTTCATTGCTGATTTGCTTCTTGAAGTTGGACTCACGAGAGCGGTATACCCTCAGGCAAGTCCTAATACATTTGCGATCCAGGACTCGGATTTTTTCCATAAAGGATGCGCTGGTGTTCCACCAAATTGGGCTGGCGTAGGTGATAATTGGCCGGATCAGTAGTTGATGGCATATAATTTTAGCCCTGCTAGTCAAGTGTTTGCAGTAGAATAAGCTTCGGTTGGCTTTTTAAAGCTGCTGAAGCTTTGTTCAGCTGAATATTAATATGTTTATTCAGACGCAATTTGTCGTCGAGATATACTCCAAGGTATTTTACTATTGACTTGTGAGGGATGTTTACTACTGTATCCGTACCTGGATTGGTACCTTTCAGAGTGAAGGTGTTAAGTCCTGATCTGCTGCCTTTGGTTAGGAAATGAGTCGATCGGCGAAAGACTATTGTTTCACATTTTGTGTAGTTTATTCTTAGGTTCCAGGTTTGCATGAATTCGTCTATTACATTTAGAAGCTTTTGGAGGCCGTCTTGGATCTTCAGTGGGGACTTTCCAGGCAGGTACACCACCAAGTCATCTGCAAAGGCAATGGCTTTTAGATCACCTTTATTTAGATCGAACGAACTGAGTAGGGTGCTGAGATAAATTGAAAAGAGGGTGGGAGAGTTGACAGTTCTCTGTTGAAGTCCCTCAAGTATTTTAAAGGTTGTGTTTGTGGAGTTGGTTCCGTCCCAAATAATAAACGTTTTGTCGTGTATCATATCGAATATTAGTAGAGTCATCCATTCAGGAAATCCAAGCTTTATTAGTCTATATATCAGGCCATTAAGCCATACAGAGTCGAAGGCTTTCTCCAAATCAATTAAGAGAGCTCCGACAAGTTGGTTGTAATGAAGACTGCGTTGAATATCTGAAACTAATTTATTAATAGACTGAATCGTGGAGTGCTGATGTTTGAAGCCAAATTGTTGATCGGGGATTATGTTATTTTCTTTGCAAATTTTGTTTATTTGTGTGTTAATGACGGTTTCGTATACTTTACTTAGAGTCGGTGTGAGGCTTATTGGCCTGTAACTTGTTGCCTTAGATGGATCTTTGTCCTTTTTCAGGATTGGTAGTACTTTGGCTTTTTTCCAAGGTTTTGGAAAGTAGTAGGCATTAAGTGCATTATTGAATATGATGACTAGTGCTTGGATGATGTTTCCTGGTAGATGCTTTAATATTATGGTTGGAATTCCATCAACTCCGCTAGATGTTTTGTTAGGGAGTCTTTGTAGAATTAAGTTGAGAGAATGGCTATTGCAGAAGAAATATTCTTTCTCGTCTTCGTGTTTAGAAAGGGTTGATCTATTTTCAGTTGTGAATTTAGTGAATGTTGTATTGTTATTGTGGTTGTCATTTAATTTATTTTTAATCTTAGTAGCTTCTTTATCAACTATTTCTTTTATCCTGGTTCCGTTATTGAGGTACCTAGGGGAGTTGATGGATTGGAGAAACATTCCGATGACTTCCAGCTTACTAGTTGGGTCAGAGATAATTACTGTGTTGTTTTCTGTTCTATTGATTTTTTCAGCTGGTATGCCTATTAGTATTGGGTCATTCTGATTAAGAATTTGGTCTCCGATACTAATAGGATTTTTTCTTCTCAGGTAGCGGTTAATTTTAGGAAAAAATGTTGAGGCATCACGGTGATTTATTTCCTTGAGTAAGTTCGCGTAGTACGTTGCTGAAGATGTTCCAAATTCCTTCCTCAGTTCAGCTTTAGTGAGTTTGATGAGTTCTTTGAGTCTGATAATTTCCTTCCTGTGGTTGGACGGGTTGTTTGTCTGTAGTTTATGGAGTTCGGTTATTAGTCTTGATTTATTTTTTTGAAGCTTCTTGATTCTGGTGTTGATATATTTATGTAAGTTGTTGTGAGGCTTGAATTTTGGAACCGTTTCTTCGATGGTAGTTAGAATTGACTTATTTATATCTTCGATGAACTCATCAATTTCTTTGATGGTCAGGTTTTTGTCATCAGGGATGATTGTATTGTAGTTAGATTGTAGTTTGTGTTGGAACTTACCCCATTTTGTTGCTTTGAAATTAAATCTGTGTAAAGTTTGTTGTCTATCTATGTATTCCATCCTATTTGGCAGCTTCACAGTGAAGGTAAGAGCTAGGTGGTCGCTATCATACTCACAGGTGCTTAATTTATTATTGATCAAATCGGTTATTTGAAGGTCTGTGATACATATGTCTAAGTATGTATTACTATCTGTTCGTGAAGGTATATGTGTCGGATAGATTTTTGCATTGTAATGATTTGCTGTTGTGTATTCCCATCTGCGGAGGTAGCGTCCACGTTCATTATCAGCATGGTCACCCCACTCCATTCGTCTAGCATTAAAATCTCCTGCTATTATAAATCTATTATTGGTCTGATTTAATTTTAGTTTGTTAAAAATAATATCTAGCTCTTTTAAAAATATTATTTTGTTAGAGTTAGTGGCATATAAACTGATTATGAATATGTTTGTGTTACTATTGTCATTAGTGTTGATTTTTAAAATTGTATATTCAATGATTTCATTACCTGTAGAAGATGGATAGTTAATAATTTCATATTTTATACCTTTACGTATGATAATAGCAGTTCCACCTCCTTGCTTTGAATTTGGCCTGTCCGTTCTAATAATGTCAAAGTCTTTGTATGTTATAACGTGTTTTTGATTTAATTTAGTCTCCGATAGGAGTACGATATCTGGTTTTTTGGCTTCAAGAAGTTTCAGTAGCTCCAGTCTTCTGTAATTATGCTGGATGGAGTTGACATTAATTGCTATAAATTTAATTAGATTGTTGTTGGTACTGGCTGTGATGTTGCCTTGAGTATTATTGTCTGCATCTGTTTCAGTATTCGCCATTTTCGATACCTAATGTTGTATAAAGAAAATTGACTCTGTTGTTAAGTTCATTTAATTTGCTATCTTGTCCGGCTAATTGATTGGAAATTTTTTGCATTCCTAGAATCATTTTTTCTGCCCAATGAGGTATGCTGTTAGATTGTTCACTATTATCATAATTTATGTTGCTGGGACGTGCTTCCCCGAAATTAGGCTGTTGTCTCAGTGGTGGCAGCGTGGGCCATGCGTTTAATTTTCTCGGTGGATTATCTTGGTTCTGTGTGTTTCTTAAATTATTGTTATTGTAATTATTATTTATTGAATTATTACTTACACGAGTGTTTTTGTTATTTAATTGTTTATGTTTATGTTTCAGTGAATTATCGTTTTGTCTTGTTTGACTTGCAAAAACTAAAAATGGGCATCCTTGAAAGTTAGCCGGGTGTTATTTCTCTCCACAGTTGATGCAAGTTAGGTTTTCTTTGTTATTGTCTTCAATGGGAATGGTGCATTTGCCTCTTTCATGACTTTGTCCGCATTTAACGCAGCGGTACTCCATGTTGCATTGTGAGCTTGTGTGCCCAACTCTTTGACAATTTTTGCACTGTGTTACGCTATTTTTGATTAAGTTCTCCCAGTGTGCTACTTGAGATCCTATTTTTTTCAAGCTGGTAAGATCTTTTTTTTTACTGCCGGCTGGTATTTGTATAATAAAATGCTGTTTTTTATACTTACTATTTTTACATACAATTGGGATAATTTTTGTTATAATTATATCTTTATTCGCTTCGAGTATATCTGCTTTGATATCATCCGCAGTATAGTTGCCATAAATGTCTTTTAAAACCACAGTTTGTGGTTTAAGATCTTTGGGTGTATACGTGTAGAATTGGACTTTTAATTCTAATAATTTAAGTTTGATTACGTCGTACGTGCTCCGATTTGCTGCTAGTATTGTGTGGCTCCCTCTGTTTTGTTTAATAGTGACTGCGTCCTTTTTAATTCCCGCGCTGGTTATTTTGGCGCTAGTTACTTTTATGTCTTCACCTATTATGAAAATCGGAGGTGGTTTGAGTGGCTTACCATTGTCTTGCTGCCCTCTGTCGGCGTCAAAGCCAGGCTGCTCTGCATTTTGAGAGCTTCCGGAAATTGTATCTGTATGATGACTCGCTGTATTTGTTAATTTTATATTATTTTTTGGATCTAGCAGATTTAGTGTATCATAGCGGTTGTTTGTTTCCGTTATCATATTGCTATCGCTGGTGCGTGCTTTTGCTGTTTTTGTCGGTGCTTGCCATTCATCTTCCAGAGACTCTCCCTTTAGGCTATCCGCAGTGAACTAAGACCCATGTCCTTTAACATTTATATAAACTCAGAGTCTAGCGCTATGCACGGCCATCACTCACACTAATTGAGAGACATTCCAATTCAACTATTGTAAAATTTGCTATAGTTCTATTGGAAAGATACAAAGGCAGCACTGGAAATTTTCATCTCTTACTTTTTACAATAGTAATATCGTATTTTTTCATTAATAAATAGTATTTTTTCTTCTAAAATATTTGATAATTAATAGTAATAAAGGTATAGTCCAGCTTTACAATAGTTGTATCGTAAATTTTCCCAGAAATTTTTTCCCGTGTAAGAAAGCCTCAGATCACATGTTTGCCGACCTCGGCTTCGCCTCGGTCAACAATTACATGTGATCTGAGATATTTATTATTTTTCTGCCCTCGGTAAGAAATGTACTATTATTAACAGATAATAAATTGTGTTTAATAAACGATCTGTTAACTATTAAAGTAAATTTCTTAACTATTAACAAATATTTATTAAATTATTTAATGTTAAAAAAGCACTTATTAACAATTAATAAAGTTAATTAAAAATTAAAAAATTCCTCTGTAGGGTCAAATAAGTTATAAATTAAAAAAAAAAATAAATAATTTAAATTATCACAATAATTAATATTATCTTAAATGAATAATGTAAAACTCCAAAATCCAAAATTGCAAATTTCATATTCACACTTATGTGAGTTAATTTGATAAAATTGTGTTTAATTAATACAAAAAAGTGTTAAAAATTTTTACCCCAATAATTTTGAACGCAATAAAGGAGAATTTTTCTTTGTGTTTAAACAAAAATAAAACAAACAATAATTCTTATCCATTTTCTCTTCCTTGTTATATCACACCTTTTCCTCCATATAACCGCCTACGAGTAGCCTCAGGTTTAAATATAACCATTGATTTTATTTTTATCGCAATTACATAAAACAATTCCTTCTTCACCAAATTTTGAAACTGAAGATACTTGTGAAAAATCCGCAGCAGAATTGAAAAAAGTCTCTACCTCTCACTCGCGTGAGTGAGAGGTAGAATTTTCCGTGTTGAAAATTCAATTTCTTATATTTTTTTTGTAATATTATAAAAAATATTTCTTGTTCTAAGATTTTCAAAATGATTCAAAGAAGGATCTAAATTTTTTTCAAAACTTTTCATTGAAATATTGATTAGAAAAAAAAATGAAATGTAAAAACCTGATCGACGAAGGGTTAAGAAAGTCTTTCAATATTTACTAGATTACGACATTTTTAAGACTAGAACTAGTTGAAAATATGATATGAATTGCATTATTTTTCACAATTAAAAATTATTCCAATATAGTTAACTGACAGGATAACATCTTCAACAGTTGAAGAAATTTCTGAACACCTATACTATACTCGCAAATTAATTTATCAATAATTTAGCTCATAATAATTTAATTTAATGGGAGTTTTCATTTAAGAGTTTATGTAATCTCAGAGTTGTCATTGAATTTTTGATACCATTAAATTGGAGTGAGTTGATTAATCAATTTTTCATTGTTAATAATTGAAAGTATTTTGAATGATTATCAATTATACTTGCTCATCGATAATAATTCTATTCTCGTCTATAAACTGAACTCTGTCTTCTAATTCAAAATTTTTTGGCATCAATAATCTGGAGACCCTCAATCTACTAGCGATATTTTCAAGAAAGAAAAGAACAACGGCAAAGATAAATATTAGGGCTATAAACATGTACAAAGGTATCAAATCAGTGCCGTCTACCAAATCATATTTTTCAAATTCCGCAGCTCTTTCAATAGCTTGCATCTTCTTGAGATTATTTCTAACTAATTTTCCGTTAGTAAAAGCACCGACTCCAGCTTCAAATGATTGTAACAAGTTTTTTCCTACCCGATCCCTTAGCGCCCTATCACGCCGACCAAAGTTAACATAGTAACTAGGAAATAATATCTCTTTTGATACGTGTAATCCGAAATTTTCAGAAGCATGCATTATTATATATTCTGCTACACTGATACACGCGGTCGAACTTTCTTTACGAGCTAATTCCAAACAGTTAAATAAAGTTCCGGGTCTATCCTGATGTAAGTATTTCATATCTTCTTCTGTGGTCCACAATCCTGCGTCTATAATATTTTTATGAATATTACCAGAATAATGAACGTGATATTTATTATCGTATAAATCCTGTAGGGTTTCTATGTTGCTATAAGTAGGTTTTGCTAATAGGGCAAAAAACTGTCCTTGAAGTACTGGAGAAAATACAAAAGCAAATAAAAATGCTATGGGAAAGACACCGCATGACAAAAGTCTGTTAAGAGGTAAGAGTACATCCATATCTAACAATAATAGATAAACATCCCTAAAAGCCGCACCGAATTGATAGTTATTAATCAACGCAATAATAGCTATTAATGAAAATAAAGACACAATTATAAACATTCCGGTGCAATAATCTAGTATCGAGTCAATTTCAGGTGATTGAGAATTATTTCGATGTTGAGTAGCTATTAAAAAGGATATCTCATAATAGACTGGCATTTCATGATCTTTTGATTCGGAAATATAATTCAGAGGAACGTAACCCGTCTCCATGTCAATGAAAGATGAAGACTCATACTCCCTGTTAAAGATATTCGAACGGATATATAGATCTGTTGTAAGATTTAGAATGGGATAAATAACTGTCTCTGCCAACGCTGTTATGTCTCGATTAATAGAAGAAATTTTTATAGTGTAGCCATTCAACAATTTCGTCTTATCAAATTCGAAAATGTGACATGCGTTTTTTTCTGAAACAGAACATTAATAAAATTTATATCTATTGTAACCTTACACTGAGAAAAAAACTACATTGATTTATAAGAAAAATTCTCGAACCAAGAATAACATTTTGAAGAGTTTGATCATTTTAAATTAAATATAAAAATCAGGAAATCGGTTAATTCTGAGGGCGATTCTTTAAATTTCCCGTTTATTTTCAAACGCAAAGTTAGGAAATAGGGTAAAAAACCCCATTAGTGGCGGGGACCCATTACTGACACTTTCTTTGATTTTGGTACTTACTCAATGAATGAAATCATTAATTTCAATAATTAATATATTATTTCTAATCTTTAAGACCTTTAGATCAAAAAAATTTTCAATTTTTATTCCAAGTAGAACATTTTTTCATTGAAAGAAAAAGTGCCAGTAATATGGGTTAAAGGTGCCACTACTGGGGTTTTTTACGTTATATTCAATTCGAATTTTTGAGCTCGAAGAGGCGGAATTCTACGCAGTTTTTTAAGTCAGAAAAATTGTTGATATCAGTCAAATATTTGGAAATTTATTAAAAAAAAAACTTAAAAAAATGGATGTGTGCGTGTATGTAAATAAAATTTATTTTGTACGATATCGTTGAAAAGAATCAACTGATCGAAATGAGTGACACTGCGTTTAATAGTGTTAATTGAAACTTCAAATTGATTAGATTTTGAAGTCAATCGGTCAAGCAATTTTAAAGATCTTCGAAAAACAAAAACCAAAAAGAATTTTTTCAAGTTTTTTTTTTTTTAAATTACTTAAAATATTTGACTTATTAACAATTTTCTTTTACTTAAAGAACTGCGTTGAAGCCGCCTTTTCGAGCTCAAAAATTCAAATTAAATATATTTTTGAATTTTGCGTTAAAAAATAAGTGGGAAATTTAAGGCATGACCCTCAGGATCAACCGATTTCCGGATTTTTAACTTCCCGCTAAAAATCGAAGATTTTCAAAAATCGGGAAGTTATTGTTTTCACCCCGTTTTACAAAAATCGAATTTTTATCAGATCTCGACGTTTAAAGGTCACAGAAAGCTTCCCTGACTATCCCCGCGAGGTTGTCACTATGTCTGTCTGTATGTATGTATGTATGTATGTATGTATGTGTGTGTGTGTGTGTGTGTGTGTGTTTTTTTTTTTTTTCCCTTTAGGGGGGGGGGGGATCCTTTTTACGGATTCTAGGCATAGATGTTGGCCCGGATATGTGGCGACTCGACGCAGCGTCATACTAAAACTCGACGCTGACGCCCCTACCCACTAAACCCTAAACCCCTTTCTCTTCTATCCTCTGATCCCCCATGGTACCGCCGTAAGGCATTTCTTCGCGGGGGGAAGAATTAGCTGC